AACTCTAGAGTGCATATTTTGTGTCCATGAAAAAAACTATTACAGAAAATACGTATTACAATATTAAAGAACTGTTCTGTTAATTTGATGAAAAAATTTAAAATATCCAGCACACTCACATCAGAGTAACTTATAGATTTGTTGTTAGAATAATCGATTAATCGAAAAAATAATCGTTAGATTAATCGATTAGAAAATAATAGTTTGGTACAGCACTAGTCAGATTAGCTGCAGTTACACACTAGCGTAAAAGTCACCTGTTTGCTATAAAGTCGAGTGTTTTGACCGCAGGGAACATACAACTAAGTGTTTGTTACTTTATAAATCTCTTGGGTAAGTTTTTCCTCCTGGACCTGGCTTGAGTACTTGATGTAGGGATGATTCCAAGAAGAGGAAAACACCTCTTTCCGTTACCTCAGGGATGAAAGACGGGGATGAGATCAGAAACAGAGATGTAGATATAAAATATTTCTTGGAAGAGTTTTTCCAGAACACATCAGTTTTTTACTACCTTAAGCCTTTTTTTAATGTATCTGGTCTTGAGTAAACAGTTCTTTAAATTTCCTTCTCTTCTACAACAGATCTTGGCTGTACTGTAGCYGTTTACAGCAGGTAGAAGTCAGGAGACCTCGGGAGGCCTCTTGTGCTCCTCCGGAGGCCTTTAGGTCTGAGTGCAGATGAGTCACCTGAGCGTTGGCTGTGTGGGCTGAAGCTTTTGTTCCTCCGCAGTAAATCTTCACTCAGCCTGACAGTTCAGCCAGGTCTACTCTAATCCCCATATGCCGGAATCGCACCGTCAACATGTCTCTCTAGTCACCGCTGCCTGCCTCTCGTTTGACATCTGTGGGAAATAAAAACACTGCTGTTCCTGTTCRTGGGAAAGAATGCAGATAATTTATTATTTTGTGCTTTCTGTAATGACTGATGCTTAAGGGATGCTGAGGGCTTTAACATGGGCTTGTGTCTTGACTTTTTGGTCCTGAATTTGCCTTTTCTGTCATCCTTAAGGCCTTCCTGTTAGCACGTACGCCAAGTTCTGCCATCGGAAGCTGCTGAAGGTTGCAATCACTGGTGGCAAAAAGGTAAGAGAAAATCAAGAAATTAAACATGGCAATTACAAATATATTAGAGGTGCAACGATGAAGAAGATTCACAATTTGGTTCGGTTTGATACTTTAGTCTGACGGTTCGATATTTTTTTCTATACAAAAAGGAGAAATGTCCATGTCCTCCTTAAAGAGTAACTTACCCCAAAATTAACTTTTTTTAGCTGATAAACTGTCTAGAATGTGTCTAAAATGTTATAT